TCTGAATGGTTTAGGACCAAAATACATCAGTGACCTCCTGGATCCATTTTTTTATCAGTTCCCAGAGTCAGAACCAGACACGGAGAAGCTGCATTCAGCTTTTATGCTCCATATATCTGGAACAAACTCCCAGAAAGCCTCAGATCAGCTGAAACACTCAGTTTATTTAAATCCAGGTTGAAGACTCACCTATTCTCAGCTGCATTTGAATAAAGCACCAAATCCACACTGTTTTACTTTTAAGCTTAGATTTCAAAACTTACATTTTAACTACTGATTTTATCTACTGTTCCTTTCTTTTTCCCCATTTTAAATCATGCTTTTTATTTGTTTTTATTTTTTAAATGTCTCTGTAAAGCACTTTGAATCACCTTGCTGAACACCTTGAATTGTGCTATATAAATAAACTTGCCTTGCCTACTATAGATTAGGTGTTCCCTGTGCTTGACATTTGGTATGAGGTGTTGGAGGTGTGGTTTTTACCAAATATGGTTTTGTAGAGACAAATTTGCTGGAACCCCCACTCCTGGGAAGGTTGTGACATTTTTGTGGTGTTAACACAGCTGAATGCTGCAGAACAACAAACTGTCAAAACGTCTGCTTTTACAGACAAGGTGGTGATCGGTTAATAGCAGCGCTGACTGCTACTTACTTTCTCAATCCTGTTGATGTTATTTTCTGTCCTACTGTAGAATATCATTAATGCAATTTTAGTATTTGAGGTTTATATAAGTACCATTTATCTCTGAGAAATTTTTCTGTGAAATAATTTGATTAATTTTCATAGGTTTATCAAATTAGACTGTATATTACTGCTTACTTCAGTTTTTTTTAAATGTTTTAATTTATGCACATTTCCATAAGAATACGTGAGTTTCCTGTAAGTATCATGTAGGCTAATGCCCAAAGAAGGGAGCTCTTTGGATATATTTTTTCAGCAACACAAAAATAAAGTTGCCAATAAATAATCTGTCAGTGTCATCCATGGTGGATGGTCATAGGCATATCCACTGGCTTCGTGGTGAGTAAAGGAAGCTAAATCAAAGGTTACAACAGTATGCAGGACGAAGAGAAGCAAATATGTTTCTTCATATACTGTCCATTAGTTTCATGTTAAACCTACCAGGGATCAAAACATTACTGCAAATAAGTTTCTTTCTGCTCTGTATTAATGTATGATGTGTCATAAATGAGCAATGATCTGTAAAAACAACACTATGATCTCTTCCCATTAGCGAGCTGGAAACAGCGACCAGCCTCTGAAACGCTGCTCTTAAACATGTACATACAGCGACCCCTGCTGGTTGCCATATATACTTAAAAATCAAAATTCATCTTTGCGGTCAATTGATGGAAATAAAATAAAAACAGCAGCACAGTACGGAAGCTGTGATCAACTGTCGTGCAGGGCGGTTTCATCGTCAAACCTAGTGATTCAACAGCAGTCTACAGGTAGAGGTCATTATGGAGTCAACTCAGTCACAAGATGTGATAATGCTTTAATAATACAGACATGTTAGTGCCATATGAACATAGAAGACGTTTGTTTGAACTGTGTATACAAAGAAAAAAGAAACAGTAACACATTAAATAGTTTTGGAACAACACTGTCACACAAGCAATGGAAGTAATTACACTGCAAATTAGATGCTGATAGATATGAAACATGGTTTAGGATAATAATGATAAGAATGACTTTCAATTGTTCAACTGAGATTTTTAATGAAGCCAGAATTTACAAAGAGCTTTTATTTTTTTTTATTTTTTAAACAGACAGGACCTTTTTGGATGTTGATGTATGAAGCATCTGTCAAACTAACGCAAATACACTTTAATTAGAGCCGTCTGTGCAAATTAGCATTTTTGTGGATGAATTCCTGTTTATTTCTTAATATGAAACATTTGATAACAAACGCTACAATACAGCTTCTGAATAGGCAACATAGTGGAGAGCTGCAACTCTCAGTGAGCACTATAGGTGTCGTTCACTGCACGCACCAGTGTGTGTGAATGGGTGGATGACTGGATGTGTAAAGCGCTTTGGGGTCCTTAGGTACTAGTAAGGCGCTATACAAATACAGGCCATTTACCATTTTTAATTCTGCATCAGTTTATGCATAACCAACAATCACGGAGAACATGAGCGGACAGTTACTATTGATCAAAGCCTAAACACTGGCTCAAACCCGTTTGCGTCTCCAATCACATTCATTTTAGCAAAGCTGCTTGCAGAGAGGAATTAGAGGGCTAAAAGAAATCACTAAACTTGACTAATTTGTTTATTCAATGTTGCTATATCGCTAGGTGGTTAACATTCATCTGTCATGTAGGGACTGGGCTTGTGGGTTCAAAAATGATACAAGTGAACAAAGCCTGAAAGACTTCTACGTGAACTTCCGCTGGAAACATCACAGAATCACAAAGACTCCAGATCCCACTCAAAAATCCACATCACATCTTATTTCAAACTAGGAGAAGGAATGCTGGCCAAACTTAACAATACTAGTCCAAGTCGCCTAAAGAAATGTCACAAATGTAAATAACATAAAACACTGTCTGTGAAACTTTGTTACAAGTGCTCTACAGAAACCGGCTCTGCTGGAAAGGGAGGTGCAGTTTGAGAGTTAAGCTCTAGAGACCGAAAGACACAAAGCAGCACTGAGAGGGTGGAGAGAGGAATGTGAGGCGCTGGGATGGTGTGGACAGAGGGAAAACTCTTCCTCTTGTGCTCCGGATCCTCCGCTTCGAGCATTGAATTACACCCACATCTGGACAAAACATCTGCACTACTGAGCCCCAACGCCACTTATATAGGTCATCCATTCAAAGGAGCAGATATGCAAGCAATGACCAAAAGACAACATCAGCAACAACAGAAAAAAAAAAAGTATAAAATGCATCAGTGCGGAGACAAGGAATTGCTAAGTAACACGCTGTAATCCTGTAAACTTTGATTGTAACAATGGCAGTGAAGGATTTAAGAACGCATCTAAAGCACAGAAGAAAACGGAGGAAAGAAACCTGCCTTGAAACCGTTTCAGTGGGACATTCTTTGGAAGAAAACACAAGAGTGACTGCCAAGGCACGGAAGTCCCTCTAATTGTTATTCACAGTTGGCTTGACAGCAGTGGTGAAAGCTGGTTTCAGATTTGGCACAAATAAGTGAGGAAACTGCAAAAGCGACACAATAACACACCGACAGAGGCTTTCTTTAAACAAAGATCCGTGTAACAACATTTGTCACTGCAGAGTAAGTGGGAGGGAAAAAAAAGGCATCTCATCGTTACACACATTAGTAGGGCAATAATCACAAGTGTTATTCGTATTAAACAGGAAATAATTGATTGTTATTAATTCACATAATTATCAGGATTAATATACTTAAAAAAAACAACTATATTTAGGTGGAAGGTCTTTCTGCAGAACACATGAGCTGTTTGAACCCTCAAATGCATCCAGATAACATAATTATGGTCTTGTTTTTTCCAAAATTAATAACAAATGTTGAAAATTTGGAGGAAAGTGTAAAAGTGAATGATCAAAATCATAAATTACAAATACAAATTATTTTGTTAAATAAACTTGCCAATCTTTTAATGGAAATTCTTCTTTTAGGGTGATCACAAAATTCTCAGAACATGCAAGCACCCCACTTACTTTAAATTGAAACACTAGCCTTATTTAAGTTGAGTTTTTACCCTGAATAATACCCAAAATGACATACGCTGACACTGTATGATTGAAGATCATTTTCATGCATAATCCAGCCTGTGTGGAGTTAGATATGTAATTTTTGCCTGTGTAAAGACAGGAGATTGTAAAAACCAAACAACTGAGGTGCAAACTTTCCGCTTTGATTAAAGGGATTTGACAAATATTTTGGATGAATTGTTTAGAAATTAGACATTTTCAGAGCCTCAAAATTAATTTGACAACATAGCCAAGGTGAGAGCTGTTCACTTGTCATTAATGACAAATGAAGTGGACAGAATATCTGAAGTGTTGAATTTGTATTGTATAACTTTTCATTGTAATGTTAAATATGAACCTCAGAGATTAGGCTAGAAAAACAAAACCCACCAGTGAGGTAGCAAAACCCTTAGGAATGGTCAGATCAACAATCTGATAATTTCTAAAAATACGTGCTGACCAGGTAAAGAACACCAAAAGCCCCAAAAGACAGCGTGAAGATTCCCCCCCCACCCCCCCACCCCCAAAAATAATTTTTATATATATATATATATATATATATATATATATATTATATATATAGTATTATATATATATATATATATATATATATATTATATATTATATATATATAATATATATATATATCTATATATATATATATATTATATATATATATGTCAAACATGAGACAACTTTGTCCCACTAGTGTCTATTTAAAAAAACCCAAACCCTATAAGTCCTAAATCGTTAATGCAAATTTTTGTTAAACCCCTTAAATTTATGCTGCAAGTTTGCACTTCAGTCAAGTGTTGATTGTTTGATTTAAAGTCCACCGTGGTGATGTGCAGAAGAAGAAGAAAAAAAAAAAAAGAAGAAAATGATTAACATCTTGCCCAAATGATCTTAACTGTATATGCAGCACAAAGCTGGACAATTTTTATAATGCACGTTGTGATGTTGGTTCATTGGTGTGCCAATTTTGAAGAGGCGCTGTTGGCAGATTAGATGCTGTGGTAGACACGATTGTAGTCTGAAGGCAGCACAGTCCCATTTAAACACTGCTAAAAGTGCAATTTTCTGTTTTTAAGCAAAGCTCGTCAGTCCTACTTTTCAAAGTGATTAGTCAGTGTTCAGTTTAATAAGCACCAGCCCTGGTATGTTGTTATCACCAGTGTTATGTTAGAGCTGCGAGCAAGCTGTTGTCATAGGAAACCAAAAAACACAAACACAAATAAATGCCGTCTTCTTTTACCAATTGTGAATTTTAACAACAGTCCGTAATCAGAATGCATTTTCTTCAGGCGATGTATCAGAATGCAGTGACATTTTATTTAAAAGTTACAAACAAGTGTTCCAGACAAAGACACCACAGTATAACCATATTGCACAACAAAAATCCATCAACATTTCCAAAAAAATACTGACAAAGAATTCATGACATCTTGCTTTTTTCCTTCACCCCGCCTTTTTTTTTTTTTTTTTTCTCCCTTAAACAGCCGAGCAAAAAAGGAAACCCTCGAAATAAACACTCTTACTCAATCCTTTTCTGCTTTAACTTCCTCTTCTTTCTTCTCGCTGATGGCAGCATCATTTTCCACATTTTCCCCAGCCTCAGCATTGGACTTTGGCTTCTCTTCCTCCTTCTTGGGTTCAGGAAGAAGGATGACTTTCCCAATATTTTGGCGTTCGTGCATGCGCTTCATGGCTTCAGTCACCTGAGAAGAGACAGGGGAGCAGAGCAGATGTTCACATTGGGCAGTAACTGAGCGCATCAGCCATTTAAATGCAGCCAAAAACTATTTGCGAGTCACTAAAACCCCGATAAACACAATCTGCTGTAAAGTTCCTCTCTGGGCAATAACAGAAAGTTCTTGTTTGAATGTTTAAGGGATGGGGGGGAAAAAAAAGACAGAGTCATACCAACTTGGCCACATATGGCACAACAATGACTTGCAGTTACCTTACAAAAGTCTTATTATTTTCAGCTAATGGATGCATATTTACACATCAAGCAGACATGGAGCCCCACACACATACACACCACAACATGTATAGGGTGCTTTGCTTCGGCCCTGTTTTGTGTCCACTATTTCTAGAAGGAAATCTTCGGCTTTTACAACCATCTGCTTCCCTACATTCATTTCCTGCTTGCTAAATTTGGTACTGGAAACCTAACCTACATATTAGAGAACTGCAGGAAGGAAGTGCAGCTGATGAGTGAAAAGGCAATAAAAAGCAAAACAACAAAAAACTGAGACTGTACATAGCAGCAAAAGACTGATCACTGTGGAAGATCTAAGTCCCCCACTTGATTTGAGCAGCTTTAATTGAAAGGTGAACAAAGTCTGCCCCATGCTGAATTAGCCACTGCCCAGCCAAATAAGTCACAGGCTAATATTTAATTCACCCGCCTTTAGGCTTGATGATGGCGCATGTTTAGACAGCATCGTTTGGATGAGGCTAATCAAAGTCACATTTATTTCTATCCAGGGTGACATTCATTTTTTGCCAAGATCTTGATTTGATGAGCAGAGTCTTCGCCAACACATCCCAAAGATTCCCAGTGGGGTGAAATTCTGGACTGTGGTGAAATTGACATGTAATGTTCCCCAAACTGCTCTCTCATTGTCATCTCGGAACACGTCTGTATCATCAAGGGAGAAAAAGATGGGACTGATGGGAAAACCTGGCCATTCAGTGAATTCAAGCAGTCAGACAATTTTTATTTTTTGAATAACATCACTGAATGCAGACCAGACTAACTGAAGTACCACCAGTTCACAGCACTGACCCTGCAGGCTCATATGGTAGGCACTAAGCATCACTTTATTCACCCATTTTCTTACCCTGACACTGGGGAACAGGGTGAATCAGAATCAGACTACAAACCCTTTCAGTTGTTCCAGTATCCTCATTATGCTCTCTAGCAAACTAAAGCTTCTATCCCTAGCTAGCCTACCTGACTTTTCTTAAGGCTACATGCTTAGTCCCAATCCCTTGAATTGTCTTGTGCATGTGGAAGGTGCTCTTATCTTGACTAGCAAACACAGCTTTCCGGTTGCAATCTCTGATCACAACCATTCAAGATTCTTTGCCTGCACTCCACCCATCCCCGCCAACATTTCTTCCTCAAAGATAAAGTTTCACTATTCTTCTATTAATATTGTTTTGGGCCATTATCCATCTAAAACTGGAGCAATGCCTTTTACACAACCCAAGGATTTGTCTAAAACCTGATTCTTTAAGAAATGAGAAGCTGCGTATGGCATCACTGATGAATAAATAACTCCCTACCAGCTGAAATGCATCAATGACTACGATAATTATCCAGTGGAAGGCTCTTACCCATTCGAGAGCAAGATAAATGTCAATGTATACTTCAATATGCAGTAAAGTAAATACAGAAGCAGTTCCAACAAGCATCTTCAAAAACAAGGAATTGTTTTTATTTATTTTTTTACACTGCAAACCCGATCAGACTTACCTCCTCAAAGTGATAGCTGGAGTCAATGCGGGGCTTGATCTTTCCCTGCTTGTAGAGCTCAAGCAGCGTAGACATAGTCCTGCTGAAGAGCTGCTCATCAGTGATGTATCCCAGGTGGAAGCCGCTGACAGCTTTGTTGGACTGCATCAGTTTCATGGTGTTCAGAGAGAGCTGGTTATACCAGGTCTTTGCCATGGCCAGCAGGTTCTTCCTCTGGCCCGTCACACAATTGGCTGCACCTGCAATGTCAAACAGTGATTAAGAGAACATTGAAAAAAGGCAGAAAACCCCCCAAACTTCACAATAATCGTCTCACTACCTTATCACAACCTCCTTTAACTTTACTGCGTTGCAAATAAATGTTTGAGCATCAACTGATTTCAATTCAGTTTTATTTATGCAGCGCCAAATCACAACATCAGTCGCCTCAAGGTGCTTTATATTGTAAGGTAGACCCTACAATAATACATACAGAGAAAAACCCAACAATCATATGACCCCTGTGAGCAAGCACTTTGGCGACAGTGGGAAGGAAAAACTCCCTTTTAACAGGAAGAAACCTCCGGCAGAACCGGGCTCAGGGAGGGGCGGGGCCATCCGCTGCAACTGGTTGAGGTGAGAGAAGGAAGACAGGACAAAAAACATGCTTTGGAAGAGAGACCGTGATTAATAGCACGTATGACTCAATGCAGAGAGGTCCATTAACACATAGTGAGTGAGAAAGGTGACTGAAGAAGAACTATTCAATGCATCATGGGAATCCCCCACCAGCTTACGTCTATTGCAGCATAACCAAGTGAGGATTCACGGTCATCTGGTCCAGCCCTAACTATATGCTTTAGCAAAAAGGAAAGTTTTAAGCCTAATCTTAAAAGTAGAGATAGTGTCTGTCTCCCGAATCCAAACTGGAAGCTGGTTCCACGGATGAGCGGCCTGAAAACTGAAGGCTCTGCCTCCCATTCTACTTTTAAATACTCTAGGAACAACAAGCAAGCCTGCAGTGCGAGAGTGAAGCGCGCTAATTGGGTGATCTGGTACAAGGTCATTAAGATAAGATGGGGCCTGATTATTTAAGACCTTGTATGTGAGAAGCAGGATTTTGAATTTAATTCTGGATTTAACAGGGGGCCAATGAAGGGAAGCCAGTACAAGAGAAATTGAATTCTTCTTGTAAATTGCATGAGACAGACTCGCCATTAATCACGTGCATGATGTCAGTGGAGAAGATGCATCAGGGCCAAACTACCCCACAAGAGAAGGTAAACAGTTTAATGTCCCATGTCTTTCTGAGTTTGAACCCAGCTTCATTTTGTCCCCAGTTTGGTCATATCTCGAAAATATGTCAAAGCCAAGGTTTTCAGTTCAGTTTAATTAAAACAAATCTTAAAGTCATTATTTAAAACTGTTATCAGGTTAGAATTTTCTATGCTTTCAACAGATGGGTCAACTAACACTGAAGCATGCTAAGTACAGGGAATTCTGCTGTGCAAAGCTACCGACTTGTTTAGCAACAGTGGTGAATCAGCACAGACTTGCTTTGAAAACATGGTCAGATGAGAGCATTTTAACCTAGGACTGTAATCCCAAATCCTGAACCTCTGATGTTCCATTCATAAGGAGAAAAGCGGCACATCGACCTTTCAAGATTGAGCCATTTATTCCGGCAGTTAGAGGAGCAGATTACACGTGCAAAACACCCTCATGTTTTCACAGCTGTGGACTCACCCCACGCCTACGGTGTCTGCTACCTTAATTAATGTTTACATCTGCCGAGCATCAAATCAGAGCTGGCTCCAAACCTGTTGATCCATGTCAGAGAAGCCACAGGTGTGGCTGCATTTTAGACTACTACCAACAAGGCTGTTCACCTCAATTTTATTTATACTGCACTAATTCACAAGAGGCACCGTTTATAATGTAAGGAAAGTGCAATATTAGAGAGAAAACTCCAACAATCAGATGATCTCCAATCAGGAGGCACTTGGCAACAGTGAGGAGGAAGAATTCTTTTTTTAAACAAGAAAAGACCTCCAGCATAACCTGGCTCAGGAAGGACATGCAAGACTGCCTTTAAGATATTAGCTTCACTGGCTCCCTATTAAATCTGAAATTTATTTAAAGTCCTGTATGATCATGCCCCATCATACTGCATCTTAAAGATCCTTTAGAGAGACGATCCATTGCCTTTTAGCACTGTATCGAGGAGCAACAGTTTCCATCTTCCTGCTTTTGAAGCTGCTGCATGTTATGGAACTTGGATACAGCTTTAGCCTTGAACAGCTCGGTATTCATTGCATAAAAGGGAAAGAAAAAAAAATGAGGCCGACATTACAATGACAGCGTGTGTAGGAGGAAAACAAATTATACACTCATTTAAAATAAAATGCTACTCTGCTAATCTAATCAGGTCTCATTTTAAAAATAAATAAATTTAAAACACCATGACAGGTTAAATAAACCAAGTGAAATAAAGCTTTAGTAGAAACACCAAAGATCTCTCTCTCCCCCCCCCCCCAAAGGATGTCTACACAATGCATTTTTGTTTGTGCGTCTTACCAAAGACTATAATCATGCCCAGGGGCTTCAACAAACTATAGCCTTTTTGGGTGTCAGAGCCACCAAGGGGGTCGAGGACGATGTCCACACCTGCAGAGACAGAAATAAAAGGGCAAAGCTTTGTAAATTTCTAGATAACAGAACATGACAATGTTCAACACAACGAAAACATGAGGCAAGGATTTCCATTGGTGCAGTAGTAAAACAAGAGTATATTTTTTTTTACCCTTCGGGCTGATTTTGCGGATTTCCTCCACGTAGTCTTTGGTGCGGTAGTCGATGGGGTGAGTTACCCCGCCTTGGGTAATAGTCTCATGTTTGGAAGCCGACGCCGTGCCAAAAACAGTCACATCCTGCACAGTTTGACACAGCTGGGTAGCAGCAATACCCACACCACCTACAGATGTGCAGACAGCAGCAAAGACCGGCATGAGAACAGGAGGAGCAGGTGTTTCACTTTCAGCAAAAGAGGTTGTGTGCGGTCTCTCTGAACCACTCAGCAATTTTCTCAAACATTCAAACTATGCTTGCTTTGAATGTTGCGTTCGTACTCAACCGGGCTCCTAGTAAATACATTTTAAGGGGAAATTTAAATGACGATACTGTTGTTACCAAGCAACTGTAGTGAGCTTTTTACAAATCTAATGACTAATGATTGAGACAAAACACTTTACAAGATATCAACTTTGCCCATCTGAATTTGTGTAATCAGTTAATATTTGCATTTGATAAAAAGATAAACCATGAGAAGACCGGTAGATTCCATTCTTCACATGTGGAAAGTTCTGCATCTGTTGTATAACTCGTTTTGACCTTTTACACGTTTTGGCTTAAATGTCATGTATGCGCTGTAAATAAAATGCTAAGTGGTTAAGAGCCAGACTGTACATCAATATGTAGGTGTCGTTTCTACAGCAGCATAAGTAATGCTGCTCCAGAACCATGACTGCAGCTGATAAATGATGTCATGGCTTTGCAATCTAAGGGTAAAGGTCACGAATGGGAGACATTTGTCTTTCTAACACCTGTTTAATGTTTTGTCCATTTTGACTCAAATTATTATGTTGTCCTTAAACTAACCAAAGTAACATAAATAAATAAATAAATAAATAAATAAATAAATAAATAAATACACACACATATATACATACATATATACACATACATATACACACGAAAAAGAAGAAAAGAAAAAAGTTACACTTCAAAAACTACAGACCGTCTCACACAGGACACCAACCAGAGTCTCCTGGGTGTCTGTTTTGCATTAGGCCCTCTCATTCATCACAACCTTTTCCAGGCCTTGATCCTCTTCATAAGACTTCTCTCTACCAGAAGAGCTTTAGTATTTTTGCCTGACTGTAAACAAATGTTGAATGGAGCTTCCGAGTCTGAAGTCAAAGCACAAGTGCTTTAAATAGGCATTCTTTTAAATGGTCAGGAGGGAGCGATACTCGAAAATCTCAGTACAGTCTCACTCCTTGCAGCCAGACATGTGACCTTAATGTTAACTTGTGCACCATTTTGGGCCTAAAAATCATAGTGACATTGTAGGATCAAGGGAATAAAGGCCTACAGACCAAGCCACAACAATAGGTCATGAGTAGGAATGGGAATCAAGACCCGATAGCTCAATTCCTTTTAATTATTCCGTTGTATTCTACTCTATTGCCTGTCAATTACGCTCATCGGTTCTGCTTCCACTTGTGCTAAAATCAGTTGATTTCAGTTCGTAGAGGAGGAAAATAGTGACGCAGTCTGCAGCGTGGATATGGATATAACTTTAATTTTTTTACTGCACAGTGAAACGACTGCATTATGCTATTATGACAACAACTTCAGCACAATGCGAGCATGCTAACGCCAAGCTAGCCAAGAACCCAGAGTGAAGTTGGGTTGACTGGATGCTGACCCCAGCCCAGCAGCCAGACCCTGAACTTCACCAAGCAGTCAGGCTGCAGCGTGCATTTCTACTGGGTCACGTTTCTAAAGTAAAATCACTGCTTTAGTTAAAAAGCATTTCCCAAGTGGTTGCTAGACGTTGATGAAGTTAATGGGAAAATTATTATTTAAACCCCAGTTGCACAGGCCTACAGACTGGTCAGTGACCCCTCAGACTGGTTTTCAACCAGTTGGGAAATACATTTTCCCCCTAGTAACTGGTGATTGAATCACATACTAAGGACAACTCTTGAGCAAAGAGGTGATGAGAAATGAATAAAAGGTCTATGGGAAAATTATCCAAGTAACAATGTTAGTTGAGTTCGTTTCTTATCAAAATATTACCACTGAAGTCACATTTACTTCTTAATTAAATTATGATCCTCATTAGATTTAAATTGGCAATAAATTAATGCTTTAAGGTGGAGTCATCACAACACTAATTAGTCAGCGATTGTTTTGAAGCAACATTATTTATGATTTGGTAGGAAATACACCAGCATGGGCCGGTATTAAATCGGAGCTGGTCAGATTATTACTGTCATCGCCTCACTTTTTCCCCCTAATGTCCTCTCGCTCTCCACATCACACCCAATTCCACGGAGAGCGTAATTTAGAGATGCGATTTAGGCTACGTCCACACGTACCCGGGTATTTTTGAAAACGCAGATTTTTCTATGCGTTTGCACCTTTCGTCCACACGTAAACGGCGTGTTTGGTCACTGAAAACGAAGATTTTTAAAAACTCCGTCCAGGGTGGATATTTTTGAAAACTCCGTTTTTGCATTTAGTGTGGACTAGAAAAACGGAGAAAACGCAGCGTCAAAGGTGTGCGCAATTTTTGACGTCACACTGTGCGCCACGTTATTGTTTCGGTGAAATAAACTTCTACAATACTGTTACTGTTACTTCTACTCTCTGCAGTGTTTAAATGCTTACATATACACACAGTTACTGTCCCTCCACACATATGTCTCGGTTCTGCTTCTATGCCCCAGCTTTGTTTACTTTTTCCCACCGAGGCTTCTAGACTTCTGATTGGCCAACATTTCTGCACGGTTAGGAATATATCGCCACCTGCTGCTTTGGCATGTTCATAGCAGCGTTTTCCTTCATTTCTGCCTTTACGTGTGGACGGGATTATTTTTTAAAACGAAAACTGAAAATCTCAGTTTTCAAAAATACCCGTGTACGTGTGGACGTAGCCTTAGAGGGTGGAAACCTCAGAAGACAGGTGAACAAAAGGCGACATAGAAAGCAGTGCTTTCTGATCTCTGTGGCCCATTTCCACTTAACAGTGAAAGGCTTTTGAAGATGATGACCGCCTGGGCCTGCAGGTTCACCAGTAATCCTTTCTGCCCTCATGATTCACACAGGTCAGCTGACACCCATTCACCCACTCAACAGTGATGAGCAGCCTTTGAGAGGGAGGATGCAGAGGAGCAGAAGAGCAACTGAGCATCACAGTAACTGTCCTGTACTCTTCGACTCAGTGTAGGGGGATCAAACACGCAGATATTTGTGCTGCTGTGACAACACAACGTAAAATCTTTGAATTCAAACTGAATAAAGTGCAAAGCTAAACACACACACACTTCCTCAATTCTCTCAGCTCTAACTGGATTATACCACATGCTCATAACTATCACAGTTATATTGTCAGCTGTGCAGCTGTTTCACAAGTTCAAGATATTTTCAGTAACAATGTGAAAAATGTCATCACAGCCTCATAGCTGAAAGTGTCAACTGCACATGCACTGCAAACTTTTAGTTTTCCTAATAAGAGTGTGGTGATCTCTATTTGATCAAAGGCAGAAGTGAAATGTCACACTAGCTGACCCTATAACTGTGACATACAGCTAAGAAAGGCCTTGGTTTATAACTCCTGGACATGCACACTCATTACAGATGGTTTTGTGTAAGAAATTTGCATTTGAGAAGTGTTGCCCAAGCAACCATTTGTGATAATAATCCAGTTTCGTATGAAGATGTTTTGACATAACACACCTCTTCACTGCTGATTTTAAGTCTTTTAGCTGATAATCCTTGAGCACAGAAATGCAGCTGCATTCAAAGAGCTGATTAGCAGGAGGGAGCATGCTGTGCGACTCTTTACACGTTACCCAGGAGACTGACAGAAGGTTTGTTACACCTTCTAATTAACTGATAACGAGAGTAGTCTTGTCGCACAAGATTGGGGATGCCACTGAGCTAGTCTGAGGAGATCCTTCATTATCTATTCCTCAAACTAATTTTCACACTAAGGCTACACGTACGATTATAAAAATTATCAATTAACTGAGTAATGATTTGATGTAACAAAAAAAAACTGGGTCATTTGATAATTTTAGGATACACATCAAAACAGTGTTTATCATCTTACACCAGGGTGCAACCGCTGTTTCAGCTCCTCGCCACGTAATGTGCAATTTATACTTCTGCACTGTGTGGACCCTATGGTGTCGCCTGCACGAGTGGACGTCACGATTCTCAGCATTTATAGTGCAATCTCACATGTGAGAAACGAAGAAGAATAAAAACAAAAACTCCTCACTAATTTTATTTGGAAATTATTTTCAGGCGTCTCCACGAGTCTTACCTGCTGCCATGTGTATAAGAACGCTTTTGCCCGGCCTAAGATTGGCCATCTCAAACAGCATCATGTAGGCGGTCATGTAGTTAATAGTTAAAGCAGCACCTTCCTCAAAACTCATCTCCTCGGGCATAAGGAAGGTGCGGTCAGCGCTCACGACAGCTACTTCCTGCCACATGCCGCTGCGGGCCAATGCGATGACACGATCGCCAACCTGAGGGAAGGAAAGAGGGGACAGGGAGAAGGTGCTGTGAAGTCAAACTAAAACACAGACGTTCACAGCTGTGGAATGATTCATTTCTTCATATCAACTTAATACGGGAAGCTTAAAAGTTTTATTTAACAAAATTATAAATCAGTAAACACAAATTACACCTGATGCTAATCTGAAAGTAAAAAACAAAAGTGGGGAAGTTAAATTAGTGCTTTTTAAACTTTCCTGTCATTCAGCTTAGTTTCACTCTGATTAGTTTTCCTCCTGTGGTCATCTATGCCCCACTTTCAGCAGCTCAGTGCCCCACATTTTGAAACCTGGCGTTCTATTGATCTTTGTAGAAAGTACAAAACAACTGCATATTTCCACAGTGGGGGAAGAAACCTCAGACTAATATCTCAAAGGCTGAACAATAACAGGCAAAGTCTGTAGAACCAAAAGTAGGGAAACTGAGCGCCTGTAACTTGAATAGGCATCGTTTCTAAAAAGATAAACAAACGGTGAAAAGAATCGCATTTGCTCCATTTCTCATACAGTGCTGTGCAAAAATCTTCAGCCACCCTTTATTTCTTTACATTTTTGCTCTCAAGGACTTTATTATTTTGTGGTCTCGAGCAATAGTTCTCCAGGGTTTCTGGAGGTCTTTCCATGTTTTTCTTTGGACATTGGGTTTTTTTCCCCTCCAGTTCTAACGGGAAAAAAAACCCAAGTCAGTCTTGTGATTATTAGAGATTTACATTTCATGCATTCTTTCCAAAATACATTCTCACTACATTGTCTGAGTCCACAAACTTCTGTGCCTCAGTGAAACTCACAGCACCCTCTCAAACAAACTAAAACCATTAAACAAGACGACATTTTAACATTCATTCTCTGGTCATGGGGACATCAGATATGGGGGCTTATGGGAAATGCTGTTCATGTTTAACGGCCTTCCTAAATTCAAAGAGTCATATGACCAATGTTGCGAAAAGTTCCAAAAATGTGAGGGGTGCAGGAAAGCAGCCTGATCTGATGATGAATGCTGCAGTTTCCTGCTAAAACAGCTTCAAGAGCTGAGTCACACCCACTTCCTGCTGCACACAGCCCATGACAATAGACAGATGACACACACAAATATTTACACTCGCAAACACAGTAAACACACACATACACATCCACATTTGGTATGCGTGTGTGCCCCAATTTTTGGAGAGTTATTGTAAAAGCCTCAACTTCCACCTCAGATGACACGCTCGATTTCTCAACCCCTGCACTTGTGAAACATTAAAAACTTGCAGGATCAACTCAAAAATTCATAATAGCCTGTTTTCCCCCTTTCTTAAAGAAGGGCTGAGTTCATTTCTTGGAAGGTTGACATAAAGTGAAGTCACTGCAGAGACTACAGAGTGGAAATAGGACAGTGAAAACCTGCTGCTCATTTGAGTCAGTCTTGACAAAAACTAGCGCCACGCCTGGTTTTCTGCAGCTCATTTTAGCGCATCGAAATCTGTCTTTGCCACTAAAGCATCTCAGTAGCCGAGAGAAAGAGCAGATCTTCATCCATAATTCAGAGTCGTGTGAAAACAAAAGCACATCCTCTTAATTCTAAACTTTTCATAACAGGGGAGAAGTAAGCAAACCCCACTGACTCAGTAGCTCGTAGAAGCAAAGCTAGCAGCTGTAGCTTGACAGTCATTTGCTGTATGACTTTCAGTCATCACAGCATTTCAGTCAGGTTGCAGTCTGAACTTTGACTTGGTCATTGTAAAACCTCGACTCTTTTCCTCTTTCAGACAGTTTGTTGCAGATTTGCTGCCATTCTTGAGATCGTCATGTTGCAGGACTCGATTTGGGCCAAGCTTTGACTCTCAGACAGGTAGCTTCACATTCGACTAGAATATTTTGGTATACAGAAACATTTGTGGTCACCTAAATGACTGCAAGCAACAAGCCCAAATTATCACCTCTACCACCATGCTTGACAGTTGTATGAGGTGTTTATGGTGATATGCTGTGATTGTTGGTCACCAAATGTGTCACTGTATATTACACCCAACCTTGGTCTTGTCTGTACAAAAGGCATTATCCCAGAAGTCTTTGCAAATCTCAGCTGTGCTGAACAAGCCACACTTGCTCAGTCTTTTTCATAATTATACTGTCATCAAGTTTAACAATTACCATGCTAACTGAGGCTGGTAAAGTCTGAGATGCAGCCCACTCCCAGTTTCTCCAAGCAACGGTAAAGCGTGACCTTGGTGAGTTCGCTGGGACCTCCACTTTTGAGAAGAATTGTGGCATTGTGCTAACATGCACCTGAATGCTCAGACCAGCAAATTGCCAAAGACTGTTTTTGTATACTTTTAAACATGCAGAGCTCAGTTAATGAAGTGAATGTGATTAGCAGCACCTGGCTGCTGCTGAGCCTGTAATTCTATGGAAGCAGTAAAGGTGTAGCTAGTTTTTCCAAACGACTGCATACCATTCTGACCGTTTGTGCATTTTACAGCAGCCAATCATACAGATTGTTTTGTTTTTACGTTCAAGACTAACACATGCTCTAAACCAAAAACTAAATTAAAAAAAAATAAATATAAAAAAATCTGCAAAAGCTACGTGAAAATGGAAAATGTGTGCCTTACACTAAGAAAGTTTAGCGAAATGGTTCCCAACTCCCTCCAGTATTTACGTAATCTAAATGTTTATAGTATAGCATGTAAATACTCCTAGGACAGATTAAATGCCTTGGAAAGAAAATGCAGTTAAGTGCATCGATAGCTTAACATTTGCACCACATGCACCAGACCAGAAAGCATGCGCTGTGCCGACCTAAACACATCGCTTCGCACATCAAGTCAATTAAAGCCCATATTTGTCAAACAGGTGGCATCTTGCATCCTTTCTCAGGCAGTCAGCTGGAATGCTGGAACAAAAACTGCTGCTCCCATCTTCCTGAAATAGCAGTAAAGGTGTGGGGTACAATCGTATATATTGTGCTTTTATTTTAGCATCACTAACAAATGGAAACTGGAAAGACAAGAGAAGCTGCATAACAAACCTAAACAGTCTTCTTATGAAACAGCCACACCCTGAAGCGCTCTCATCTGGAGCCTCGCTCCAGCCTCTCAGTATCAGTCTCTGAAAACACTCTGGCATCCCTAAATGTTATTGTCTGCACTGCAGTCCCACCCACATCCTTACACTAACCTTAACCAACTATCTCGCATGTTAACCTTTAAATTCCTGTTGGGATTTCTCACTGCTTCCTGCACTGCTGCGGCTGGTGCTTTGTGGTGTCTTGTGTTTTGATGCTTCCTTCCAAAAAGGAAGTGTTGGAATGAATATGATCCACAAAAATGGAGGGAATGGAAAGAGAGGAGGAGAGCAGTAAGTGGTGAAGAAGGGGGAGGAGGAGGGAAATTCCATGCTGACACTTCAGGATTGGGAGGACTTTCAGTGATTCTTAGAAAATACACATAATGAAGCTATCATGCAATTAACTGCATGGATAAAGAAAGAAAAGCTGGATCTGGTGGAAGAATATTCAAGTCCTTTGCAAACAAACAGAAGTAACCTCACTGTTAGGCCTTCTCTAGTTCACACACACTCTTATCTTAACATCTTATTCAAATGAGGATGATACAGAATACAGATGCGCCCCAGACACAGAAACAATAATGAAAGTGGATTTTACATAATCAAGGTCCCTTTGCAATATTGCGCTGCTAATTTACAGGGATGAGTTCCAAATTGTTTAAACCACTAGAATAGATTTCATCCAAGTTTATGATTACCTTTCATTGGCAGTGTTGTGTTTTTTGTGCACTGCTAAACAATCAAGTCAAACACACAGCAGTAAATCTGCACCCGAGCCAGATACATGCAAGACTGAAGATTAAAAACGTGTGCGGAGCTGCTTTTTCTGTCACACAGCAGGTATCGGGACCCTAATGATAGAATCAATAAGGCATCTGACCTTTAAACAGACTCGATAGTGGTGCTGGAATCCATAGAAACCTAATCTACCATCTTACTTGGTGTTCAAAGAGCCTGCAAATGCAGTGATCATTCTTGTTAGACAAGAATCTGAGCTATGAGACCTCCCTGTATGACACAAGCTTTATGACTCCAACATGATGTCAGTACATAACAAGCATAAACTGGGGCACTGATTTACTGTGCAAAACTCCCAGAAAGGTCTCATTTTCCTTCGACTCATGCAGATCTTAAAACAAGCAGTTTCTTTGTTTCTGATGTCAACATTAAAAAAAATTTAAAGGTTAAGATCAACATTCATCCACAACTGCTGCCTGGAAGTAATCCATTGCCAAGACTTGCATACAAACCAAATAATGCACCTACTGAACCCAGTAGGCTGGCTCAATAGTGCCGTTGGTCATGTGTGAGTGTTTTCCACCTTCCATTAGTGCACACAGAACATAAGAAACTCTTGTTAGATGGAAAAACAAAAAAACCAAAAAAAACCAAAAAAAAAAAACCCCTTCCTCTTTTAATTTCTGTGCAAACAAATCTGAACCAACAAGTGAAAAGTTACAGAACTTCTGCAAAAGGCATTAGCATATAAATCCATGAAGGTTACTTGCGATGAGTCACTTTGACGTTATCTTACACATACCACTGTAAAACCAAACGCAGTGCATAAAAGCAATGACCTTTGGCCACTGAAAGAGCTTTGTTACTTGAGTATGTGTTTAAACTGTGCCATAATGTAGCTGTGAGGCGCATGCAAGGTTCAAAGAGGCTAAAATCAGCAGCTCTCTAAATATAATCGAGTATAATTGCCAACATCAGGTGTTACAGCCTACGAGTTTCCATCAGTTTCAAGAATTTAAAAGGAGGCACACACTCACTTGGTTTAGAAATGCGCCTTTTCATCAGAGAAGAAAATACACGTAGCTTCTTTTGTGCAGGGGAGAAAATGTTAAAAACGCGTCAAGGCCAGACTGTCACTCAAACACGGTCAGTTTTCATAAGTGTCACACTTTCTAGCAGCTGCTCAAACGAACACACTACGATTAAGGTTGTTTATTGAAATGTCGCTGCTTGAGTGCCAAAGACGAGTCTGTGGTACACAGAAAGGAAACAGCCAGTCCAAACTCACGTCAGCTATAAATCTGATTATGCCTTCTGAGATTTGAGAGGAACTAAAATTAACAGCTATTAAAAGAGATTTCAGTTCACGGTTTTCACTAAAGAAACGTGGAAAGTGATGACAGCAGCGCTCTGGGTTGGCGTTTGGAAAAGATTACACGCGTCACGCACTGGCAAGAAATGCCGAAAAATGAAAGGCTCGGATACTTTGCTTGGCAGCTGCGGAGCCGCTGATCTGACGCTCTTTCATGACCACAGTGGAATTTTGTGGGTGTGGGGAAAGCATTTAGCAGGCCTTTACTCACTTTCCTGTCATTCACATCCTCCCCGACCGCTTCAATGACCCCGGAGCCCTCCATTCCCATCGTGACGGGCGGGGAAGGCAGCAGCTCGTACAGCCCCTGCCTGGCCAGCAGCTCGGCGAAGTTCAGCCCGCATGCCTTGACGCGCACCAGGACCTCTCCTGCCTTCAGCTTCGGCTTGGCCATCGTCTTCACCTGCAGCTTGACTTTGTCGTAGCCCCCATGTCCCGTGAGTACCAGAGCCCGGAAGGAGAGCGGCTTCTCCTCAGCGGCTGGTGTTGCAGCTGGTGGTTCTGCTACAGCAGCTGGTGGTTCTGCTACAGCAGCTGGTGGTTCTGCTACAGCAGCTGGTTCTGCTGCAGGGCTGCTGCTGCCTGACTCCTGCTGAGGTGCATCCGAAGCAGCTGAGGGAGGCTCATCAGGCTTTTTCTCCTGCTCAGGCTGTTGCTGCTGAGTTGGACCCTCTTCGCCAGACATGATAACCACTTTCTAAGTGCGCTTTTAAAGCTTTTCAGTTTGACAGTCGCGCCTGTTTGAGCGTTTCTTTCCAAACACTCCAAGAACGTTTAGTGCAAATTTTCTAGTATAAAAATGTGAAATAAGAGGGTGTTTCCTGCAGAGTCGAGTCCTCAGTAAGATGTGCGCGGTTTCCTGTGTATGCGCCTAGATCAACAAGTGCCCAGAGTCAAGAGCGGCGTATTTTATACAAGTTCCCAGAGTGATTTTCACAATAAAATACGGATGCCAATTTACCAAAACGTTTCTTTTCTCTTCTGTTCTTTCTCATTTTTGATGTGGCAGCTAAAATTGAATCCAATCCCGCAAGATTTAGATGAGTTTGTTTCAGGTTGTGCAGGTTAAAAAAAAGAAGAAAAATTATGGCACCCATGAAGACCTGTCGAGAACTGATTTTAAAAAGTCTAAAAAAAAACAACTTCCTCAGGCAATGCATTCATGTCCAATATTTTTCAGGGGATGAAAATGCTGAACACGAAGATTTGCCGACTAAGTAACATAAAAATAAACAATTCATTTCTAATAATATCCGCGTTTTCCTGCATGAGGACTTTAAACACACAAGCATAACAACATTGGATCTACACAACACTTTTTCGGGTACTCAGAGGCGTTAATAGACAAAACTGCTGCTCTTTGCATTCACTGAGCTCCACATAATTGAACCATTTTTATATTTCTAACCCAAAAATTGGCAGAGATAAGTATAAAAGCGATCTTTATAATCATGTTTCTGCAATGTGTCTAATTTCAAATGTGCTAAATATTCGCTGTGGACATGATCATGGGGTGTTTTTTTCTTTTCTTCTCTCTGGAGTTTATTTTTATAGTCCATCATCAAAGTAACTTCCGGTTCACTTCTGCCTCCAGGTGGCTTACTTGACATATTTAAAACGTGACCGATATGTGTTGTTGGCAAAAAGCTCAGAGACAAGAGCCAAAGAGCCGTGGAGAGCGTCAAAGCCCGGACACTGGAGCCCTGGAAAGAGAAGTGGGATTATTAAGATTACATAATAGTCAGGAGTTAATAAATGTGAATAAATTATGTTCTCAAATATAAGTCAAATGTTTTTGCAATACAAATTACTTTTAAAATGATTATTTAGCGGAATTTGAAAGCTATAGGAACCAATATGCCCCGGAAGCTGCACATTTGAGGTTATACATGAAAAAAAAAAAGCCTTACTGTAGAATAAACATCATTCTAATGTATTTAAAGCCACAGCTCTCCCCTCCACACACACTTTGTGCACACTCACACACTCACACTCCTGTGGTTGGTACAGACAGGAAGTGGGGACATGGTGAGAAAGATAAGAGTTGCCTTTTAAAGGGGCAGAAAAGTCAAACCAAACACTTTGCAATATATGTCTTGATGCCTTCTCAATCATCCAGGAAAGTAAATCTCCAAAAGTTGATTCTGTTCATCTGGACATAGCGTTTTGTGAGAGAAACGTTTCGTCACTCATCCAAGTGACTTCTTCAGTCTCAGCTGACTGTAGTTTTCCCCAATCTTAATCGTTTCTTCCACAAAACGCTACGTCCAGATGAACAGAATGAACTTTTGGAGACTTTGCATTATATATCTATATAGACATAAGGTAGGGTACAGCCTTCATGCCATAGACATCCAGTAAAAAAAAAAAATCTGGGGCGACTGAGTCAGATTCATTTCACTCAATGGGCCATGGGTCAGACAAATAAAAGGCATCAAGTTCAGGGACATGTTCTTGTTAAAGTATTTTTGAGCAACTTCTTAAGGCAATAGATGAAAACAGATGAGATATCTTGAAGAAAGTGATTAAAATTACAACCCTTAATCTCACTGGGGATGCTGGGATTACAGTTTACAGATTAGGCATAAAACCCTCACATGTACAGTTTCTTTAACAAAACAGTGAAAGTATTTTATCTCAACGCCTCACTATTTACACTCCTGTGCACAAGGTTAATACTGGCATCAGCAGGCTGTGTGTTATAGTGCATTTTGTGAAAAAGCAAAGTACTTAATGACTTCACTGCAGCTTTCACACTGGGTCTTTTCTATCTGAGAACTCTGGCCTTGTACATAGCCTCACACCACACGACTGGTGCAAATACGATGTTAACTGAAAACACAAAGAACTGTGGTTGCTAACTTTGATGTGAGGGGAAGTAAGCACTCTCAGATGTTCTGTGCTTAGACTTCGGTTTTACACCCCCTCACTGCTTAAAAGCTATTGACTACTATAGTTTAACTGCCTTTTCAGCTTTGCTGAAGCTAAAGTAATCAGTCTCTTCTCCATCTTCCAGCTGCTCCCTTGTCACAGCAGATTATTTGCATCCATCTCATCCTATCTGGAGCATCCTCCTCTGTCACACCAATCCTCTGCATGACCTCTTTCACTAGATCCATGAATCTTCTCTGAGGTCTTTCTCTTTTCCTCCTGCCTGGGATCTCCATGGTCAACATGCTTTGTAAAGTATATCCACCATCTCTCCTCTGCACATGTCCAAACCATCTCAGTTAACAGTTCACTGTTCTGTAGTGAATCCAAAACCCATCATGAGTACCTGCATAAAACAAGTCAGATCCCCATAACAACTTAATGTTTTCATCTTGATGCATGCTCAAGCATCCAGGTAAGTTAATGTTTTCTTTCTTTCCCCTGTCGTTCACCTATTGATCATGTTTACATGTCCATTTGATCATTTTTGTGAAGACAGACAAGTTAAAAGAAGGGCTGATGCATATCTTTTTCCTCATAATCAAATATTAGGATGTTTCCTTGGCAGAGGACGCCCGCTTTAAGTGTCTTTTTACTCACATTGTCTTTGCACAAAATAAACTTGTATCTGCTGAGACTATCAAACATACTGTTAATAAATTCAGAACATATGGTTTCCTTTTACATGTCACATTAAACTCTTGACGAGGCAACATTTTTAGTTTTCCAAGGACAATTTGACAGTTTACTTTCTTTCTGATGTTTTAGCAAAAGCAGAAAAGCGCACAATGGCTGTGGGATTTAGTAAAATACTGGAAAACAAGCTATTTTTTCTCTTTCTCTTCTCTCTTTTTTGACCAGAAGATGGAGCTAACAGGCTGCAAATGTTCTTTAGAAGTTGTAATGCGCTGAGGCAGATCACACAGATCTTATCCCTGGTAACAAAGTTCAGAATGAAGCTGGCATCTTGTGTTTATATACAAAAGAGCAGATTAGTGATGTGGGGGTGTCACACCAGAATCCTTCTATCAGCAGCAGTGTTAAAAACCTGACTGTCACTAAACTGTGAAGACTTGCAAAGTAAATCTGTAATCATAAAGATAATGATTTTGCTACCATGGAGTATATTCTGTATATTTGTCCTGATTCTGCTCTGTGACTTTATATCAGTAACTCAAAGTGACAGTTCATAAATCTATATAAAGTAGACGTGATTAATCTGGCTTTTTTCATTCAGCAGATATTCAGTTGTTTTGAACAGAGATATATAAACCCACCTGGGTGGATATACGACGCGGGGGGTGGCGCTGTGTCAAGCTGGGCAGAGTCTGTTATAGAAAGACGTGAACAGTTGCAAGTTTTCATTCAAAATAATAGACTGTTAGCCCGGCTGTATTAGCGCAATAACAGCAGCTGCTCGCAGGGTTAAGCTGCTTTTCTAGCATGACGCGGATGGAATACACTGAGCGTTAATGTTGTTTACATGGCCAGCACCACGTAGGCTTTAAATGTGAAAAGCCAAACAGGAATCTGCATTTTAAGGACGTGACTTTGACCGAAAGCATCAGCTGTGCGCCTCACTTGACTGGAAGAAGCAGTGGAGCGCAGCAGCGCGCAGGGCATGTAGCCGAAACTACACCAGACTGTGGAGTTGAAGTTTTCTTTTGTTTTCTTTTGTTTTTTTCTTTACCCGGAGTGTTTTATTCCATCTGTGGGAAAAAAAATAAACATTTAAAGCTGCTCTTCGACATTATTATTTGCTTGGAGCTAAATGACAAGGAGGTAGCGACACAGAAGCACTCAGTGATTTAAACAGGGGAAACCATGGAGAGCAAGGGATTACTTCGCTGTAAGATTGTGGTTGTCGGGGACAGCAAGTGTGGCAAGACGGCTCTCCTTCACGTTTTTGCCAAAGACTCGTACCCAGAGGTAAGTCAGCATTTATTAGAAATAGAAATACGCACAGCAGCCCTGAATGGTGCGACGGCACAGGTGCGTAAAGTCCCCGAAACCACGCGGCAGTGTTTTCACGTAGAGTGAGATCGCTTCAAGAAGGCTTGACATTGTGGATCATTGTGGGAACTGATTGATACCTAGTTAAATGTGTGGCCTGTAAACATTTATTATAATGTATTTGTGCCGCCAAAAATATCATGGAAGTTAAAACTCGAAACTGTAAATGGATGTTCTCTTTTTTCTTTTCTTTTTAAAGAAACATTATGGTGTTCTCGTTGTGTATTATTTCATCATGTCAGGATTTTACCGGGGTTTGTGTTAAGCCTCATCTAAAGTGATGCAACAGCATCATGTAAATTAATAACATAATTAGAATTCAGTGGCCAGTTATCACTGAATTTTTTTTGCTTACGTGCGCTTTTGCGCACCGTGTCCGTCTGTTGATGTGGGACTTTGCAGGTTTGACCAGAACAACAGAATAACCGCCTGGGAGCTAGATTGTGTGCTGTGAGACGCGAGATATTAAACCCGGGAGTGTGTAATGTTTTATAGTGGTGACCGAAAACCGAATAGAGGCAAAAAGTTCGCACAAGTAATACTTTGTCTCTCAGAAGTAGTACTCTGTCTTCTTTACTTGATTACATAATTTTAATTACACCAATAAGACATTAATAAAGTAAAATATATATATATATATATATATTAATATATATATATTATATATACTTAGTATATATATATATATATATATATATATATAATATATATATATCTTTTTAAGAACTAGTTTATGACAAAAAACTTACAGATTGTGGATGGATAAACCCCAAAGCATACTTTTTCAGCAAAACTAGAAAGGAATGCAGACTAAACTCACTAACAACAGGAAATGTGTTTAGTGAAGAAGGAAGAACTTGTGTTCCAAAGGAGGAGAATTTTTATGTGATGCAGGAAATGCATTCTGTCAGACTCTTGAACTGTTGGGATTAATCAAACCAAAGCTTTTTGAACTAAAGTTCAGAACTTGCAAATAGGTCAAAGCAAAGCATTGGACTCATCTACTTTCCACACACACACACACACACACACACACACACACACACACACACACACACACACACCATCTCTCGCCTCTTGACATTCACAACTGCACTTACCATCCCCACAGCAGCTATTTGAATTAATTAGGAATCTGACTGTTTTGTCATGAAAATCACACCGTCTTTCTTTTTTACAGTGGGCATATCATCTCCTCCAAGCTTTGATCTAATTTTAGCCACCACACGCCTCTCGTTTCAGAATTACGTTCCCACGGTGTTTGAGAATTACACGGCTAGCTTCGAGATTGAGAAGCAGAGGATCGAGCTCAACATGTGGGACACATCAGGTGAGATTCCCAATCATCTCTTTATGTTCTCCTTTCAACTCAAGATTATCACACCAGAGTGATGAAAGGTGTGCCGCATCATCAAGCCGTGATGAGGTTACTGAGCGAGGAGCTCCAGATCGGCAGACAGCTGACTCCTTGGAGTGTTCCGCAACTTCCAGGCTGTGGGCCAAAAACATGAACAACCACAATGTGTCAGGATAATCTGTTGAGAGTACTGACTGTTGTTTTTTTTTTTTTTAATTTCAAAATGAATTAATCTAGTCTGGGACGCAGAAACATAACTTGTGTGTATTTATATAACTTCAGTCCTACTTCAGAGCTCATCTGACACTTTCAGCAGCAGCTGAAGTGTTATGTGAGGCCTCTGAACAGCTTGTTATTCAACACATACCTACTCCGAGTAACAACTACAGCTAATCAACACATGAAAATGCAAATTAATTGCCTGCATACATGATTTTGATGAGGATTTTGGCATCTTGACTGAATTCATGCAACATGGCACCAGTTTATTTCAGATAACAAGTGTTCTCTGTCCACTTGTAGCGCTGAGAGCTTGCGAAGCTGTTGCACAAACTCTTAAATGTGTTCACTGAACATTTTTTGATTTACAAAGTCATTATATCTTTTCAAGATTTCACTTTGGAGAGATGATCAGACGGAGGGCCTCTATGGGTCTCCAGATGTGCATTAACTCTCTCCCATTTTAGCCTTTAGACCCCTTCATGTTTCATTTCTACTTACAAAACTCCCCAAAACTTGTTCTCACACAGCGTGAGAGCAGCTTTACTGCAAAGTGCTCCATTAACCTCCACCCGTGCAGACAGGGAGACCAGCTAGGCAAGCTGGAGATTAAGAGCTGCTGCAGCTGCCGAGGCTGCTTTGCGGTGGGTGAGGCCGCTCTGCGGTGTTTAAACAACACCCTGCGAAATTACCGGCTGGCTCACGCACACACCTTTCCCTCACTAAAACACTTAAACAGTAATTTACTTCGCCTCGGAAAGAAATGCAATTCACCTTTTTGTGCGAAGCAGGTGCCGTTCAGAATTGTTGTGTCACATTATTGGAATCTGAGCGGACATGACGCTCCCAGTTGTGAATGAGTTTATGAGGTGTGAGGTAAAAGAAGGGCCAGCTTCTGTCAAAAAACTCCATAAACATGTATAAGACAATAAAATCTGCTTATTTGTGCTACTGTGAAAGAAAAAGAGGAATTAGATTGTAATGTGCATCACTTTAGGAGGGTTTACAGAAGGATTTACTCAAGTCAGAGGGATTTTTCTTTATATACGGGCACCCCAAAATGTTGCATGCCTAACTGAAATGGATTTAAAAAGCAATACTATCTGATTTTATTAGAATTTTTTATACAAAACTATATTATAACTAATAAATGGTACTAAAAGCTATAAAAAGAAGCCAATTCTGCAAGCACCAGTGGTTACAATATTAGTTTTGTGTGCTCATTAGATGCCTTGATAAGAATCAGACGAGAGAACTTTTATTATACAAAGACATGGCCCCATATTGAGCAGCAGTGGTTAACGGGAGCTGATCCAACTCTGACCTTAGGTGGCTTCTTCCAGCTCTCTTTAAGTGAGGAGGAGACATGTGTGTTGCCTTGCAGCACCCCTGCCAGCTATTCTGGGTTTGTGTCAGGAGACAGGTGCATCGGCAACTACATCAGTAACACCACAATTCCCTCTGGTACCTGCTGCGTTTTACTAATAGCTGAACGGGGGGTTACAGTCACCTGGTGTGCTTACATGGAACTTTCTGTATATACACTGCTGCAATACCCTTGACTTTTAAACTTGCTCCTGCTTACTTTATGCAATCACAGATTTATGTGATTTGATAAAGAACATGCTTTAGCTGATATGTGTGTTTGTGACATGTGGCATGGCAGTGTGTGCAGTTTGTTTAACCGCAGGTGAACTGACTCAATGAAATTGAAGTTGTGGATGAAACACTAAATATAAAAAAAACCCCAATCCCAAGCTTCAGAGCACCAGAGGTTTCAAATTTAAAAGAGCAAAAACTCATCACACATTTTAAGCTATGAAGCTTGAACTCCAGTGTGGATGACAGGGGAGGAGATAAGAAGAGAAGGATCATGTTGAGTTGTTGTAGAGGCTCACAGATAGGAGAGTGTATTAGGCAAGGTGCCAGAAGCGGTCTCTGAGCTGCCCGCTTATTGTGCAGAAACAAACAGTGGATTTAATTAATCAGGCACTTGCTGTGTGACCGAACACTTGCCCCCTGTCTCTTTCATTCTTCATCTTGCCACACAACCCACCTCCTGCTTCCCTCTGCTACATCCAAACATGCTTGTAGTTTAAACTCCCTTCCTTGTAGGTTAAACTCTTTTTTCCCCCCTGCCAATTTAAACTTTACCCTGAATTTATTGCCCACTGGCTCCTTACACTTCCTCAGTCTTTCAGTCATTGTCATGTTGCTCTGTTTCTGTCTTCAGTCATGTGGCGCTGCAGGTGAGACCAAGTTGAGATCAAGCTCAGATAAATGGCAATGGCATTCCTGTAAAAAAAGAGACTCTTTCTAAATGGTTCTGCACCATTTCTATCAAAACAAGGCTGGAGTTGGTATGCCATCACAAAACTAAATCAATGAAAAAGAAGTGCATTGAGTGTATTGTAGTTAGAATAAAATACCTTCTATGTCTCCTCATCATGACACAGAGACTCATTCACTGTCCTGTAGTCCTGTTGGCTGGATTTTTGCAACTCATTATCATAAAGATGTTGAAAAAGAATCTCCAGTTAATCCAAAACGGTGCAATGAGACTTCCATTGGCCATGCATTAAATAAATAACACTGACTATTTTCGTCTGGGCCTCCAAACTCCGCAGATTGAGCCCCATCATATCTTAATGATGGCATAGTATTATATTATCCCAACAGAGCACTTTGCTCGCCGACTGCAGACTTACTTGTGGTTTCTAAAATTTCTAAAAGCAGATTTCAGCTCCTGTGGAACCACCTCAAGAGACAGACACCCTATCTACGTTTAGGATCAGAATAAAACATACTCTTTGATAAGGCTTATAGCTGGGGCTTGATCAGGTGACCAGGATCCATCTATTAGTTATGCTGCTACAGGCTCAGACTGCTGCGGGACTTCATGCAATACACTCAGCACTTCCTCTCCACTCACCTCTTGTTACTCCCCATATATCTCATTAAATTCTTGTCTTATTTCTTCCTTAGTCTGTGTTTTATCCTGTCTCCCTTTGTTCTTTCAAACTCCTCACCCCCCACCACCTCCTAAAACCAGTTGAGGCTGATGGCTGCCTCTCCCTGACTCTCATTCTGCCGGAGGACTCTTCCTGTTAAGAGGGAGTTTTTCCTTCCCACCATTCCAAAGTGATTGCTCATATGGGTGATCAATTTATTGTTTGTGCTTTATGCCTAATACTGTAGGATCTTTACCTTACAGTAATGGCTTGGATTGACTGTTTTTGTGAATGTGATTTATAAATAAAGCTGTTTTGAACTGGTTTGGATACTTTAGTATTTATCTAACCAATCAACAGTGACTCCCAGAGCAATGCTGTCTGGTTTATGCAACATGGGATGAATGCAAAGTTAATCACTGGTTTTAGTACAAGATGATGATAGACTGGATCTGATTTCGAATCACTGATGTGGTTGATTCATTCAGAGGTCTTGAATGAAGATATTTCCCCCCCCCAAAAAAAATCTCTAACTTTCAATGGTTTAATCAGTATTTGCATATACAGAGATCAGCCTTGAGGTTAAATAAATAACACTGACTATGTTTGTCACAATGCAATTCAAGACTGGGCCTCCAAACTCGGCATATTGATCCTCTACATAAAAAACTTAATTCACAAAGGCCCCCACACATTACAGATATTACCTAAAGGTATAAGTATACCCCCAAAGATGGATCGGAGATGTTTTTGTTAGCAGCAGGCGTGGCTACCCAATATGAGGTAGGCATTTTTAATGCTTTGGGTGAATGGTATGGGCTTTTATTCTAATTCATCTTCATAAAAAGCCTCTGCAATGTTTAATGGACAATGAATCCCATGGAGTCATCAGATCACAATAAAAAAAATAAAAAAAAACAACTAGAAAATAAAAGTAGTCTAAAATTGCAAGCATTATTGATTATGATGACACAGCAGTTGTGTAGCAAGAACTTGTTACTCTTCAAATAAAAAACAAATAAAAGTGCTTAAAAATCTGATCCCAGCTGACCTAATTTTGTCATAACAGTTTATATGTCTAGATTTGCCCTTCTCTGCAGTATTCTCCTCCTCTCTTTAATTTCATCGATTCTTCCTAATATCCCCTCAGGCTGCCAGCCTCCCACCCGGCTCCTTCTCTGTCTCTGTCTCCAACAAGTCAAGGTCAGGAGTCCCACTGTATTGGGGCAGTGCCCTCTCAGCACTCTTGCTCTTGATTAGCTTACCTTGCGTTTTCTTTGTCTGTCTCTCTATCCATCTTTATCTCTTCCTCACTTTTCACTCACTCCTTTTCTCATTTCCCATACTTCTTTCTCCCAGATTCCGGCATATGGCTCACTGTAATCTGTCTTTATACGCAGCGACAAAAAAAAAAAAAAAAAAAAATACTGAAGCAAAGCATCCTGGAAGCAGCAACAAATCAGTCAGAATGCACAGTTAGGTCCTTAGATATTTGGACGATGGCATAATCTTTGTCACAATAAACCCAAACAGTGGGTTTCTTGATGATTTTTTTTATTTAGGGTCATTATCAAGGCTCAAAATTACAGACTAAGACAATTCTAAATATAAGGATTGTTTTTTATACCTGGATGAAAATCCTTTGCAGTCAGTGACTGTGTGAAGTCTCAAACCCTTCATTTTGCTCAATAGCCCTGTACACTACAGAATTCAACCTGCTACTACTATCAGTGGTCATATCATCAATAAGCAGTAGCTACATGGGCCCCATACATGCAATCTACATCTGCATACATTCTGCAA